GTGTGTGTGTGTGTGTGTGTGTGTGTGTGTGTGTGTGTGTGTGTGTGTGAGAGAGAGAGAGAGACAAACAGGAGAGAGGAAGTGGGGAGGGGCGGGCGGGCGGGCAGAGAGATGCCCGTTCTTGGCTGGAGACAAGGCAAGCTTGTGCCTCAGTTTCCTTACTCTGCTTTTTTAGGTAAATCTCCCCAGAACGAGGTGACCAGTGATGGAGCATGGTGGCTTGCTAGGCCGTTACTAACTAGAAATTAGTGTTCTAATGAGCAGGAACACCAGCGATCACCCCTGAATACAGGGTTCCTGTTGGGTTCCAAACCAGAAGATGGTGGCCAGTGGGGTTGATTGTGTCATTCGGGGCTTTCAGACCAAAGGGCAGGATGGGCCGGGGCCTCATTTGGAGGAGGGTTTTTCTGGGTCCAGTTAAATGGAGCAGTAATGGACAACCATCTCCGTGCCTGGAAATCTGGTACAAAATGAGGCGTGGGCTATTTGCTGTGAATGCCTTCCTTGGAAGGCTTCAGACTTTTGCACCATGAGAAGCTCTCCCCAGGTTTCCTCCTGTCAGTACCCTGTGCCCCACAAGCCAGGAGAGGAAGGTCCCTGGGTAAGAAGAGATGTGTTGGACGTTTTAGGAATCGGTGACGTTCCGGGACGTGGCGGTGCACTTCACCTGGGAGGAGTGGAGCCACCTGGACCCCGCCCAGAGGGCCCTGTACAGGGAGGTGATGCTGGAGAACTTTGAGAACCTCGTCTCCCTGGGTAAGGACACCCCTCTGTCCCCGGAGGTGGGCTCTGATCACCAGGCGTCTCTGCAGACCCCGGCAGGTGTCCCATGAGCTCTCCCGAGCTGGGATTTCTCTGCAGTGAGGGGGTCCAGCACATCCCCTGGGGGAAGGTCCTGGAAGCTGTTTCTGCTCTCTGTGCCCCGGGAAAGGTCTTGGCCTTTTGTGGGTGGGCGCCTGTCCCTCATTGTCCTGGCCTTAACGCTCTGGCCACCCAACTCTCCGTCTCCCCAGGCCAAAGGTTCTTGCTCAGTCCCAGGACGTGAGGCAGGGAGGGAGGTCAGGGAATCAGTGGTCTCTCTGAGCCCCAGTTACATCTGGGCTCCATGCCTGTGTGGGAGGTGAGCCTCGGCCTCTGGCCCTCTCAGCACGGCCTCTTTTCCCTGGAGAGAGGGTTCTGAGATGGCTCTTGTTTCCAGAACTTCTTCATTTCTCTTCCCATGCTCAGGGCTTCCAGTTTTGAAACCCGAAGTGATCTCCCGACTGGAGAGAGGAGAAGCTCCGTGGCTGCCAAGGGGAGTGGACCCAAGAGACCCTGACCGAGGTGAGTGGAGGGCGGGCGGGCGGGAGTGGTGGTGAGCAGGGACTCAGGCAGCGGCACCTTTGGAATGTTAGCCAGGCAGGTCTCCCCACAGGCCCTGAGCCCGGGGACGGGATGAGACCAGCGTCCTGGGGCATTTTCTCTTGAGAGCTGTCCGTCTGTAACAATTAGTCGTTTAAGTGTGCCAGCCTCGGGACCCTGACGCGTGAGGAAAAGCTGAAGCAGCCAGATGAAATCCTGCCTGTCGCTGATGTGTCTTAGCGATGTTCCCTGCTGACATCTGCCACGGACTCCTTGGCAGTCTGGGGTCCCACTGACCCGTGGTCTAGAGGAAACCATAACGATTCACCCACTTTCCCCAGACTAGTTATGTAATTCCAAGAAGCCAAGCCCTTCCTTTGTACAATATGGGCAGGGGTGGGATGACTGAGGCCAGATATGATGGAAAGCAGGAAAGCAGGGCAGGAGTTAGGGGTTGTTGGCCCTGCTGCATGAAGCCCCTTGTGCCCCGTTAGAGCCTGGCCTCCCTCTGGTCCTGCTGCCCTGGGATCACAGCTTCAGCTGGGCCCGAGCCCATCTTCCAGCTTTCTCATCTCCTCTCTGGCTGATGCCATGTTTCTCTGGCCCTCTTTGTGACTGTTTCTCCATTGATGTCCTTCATGAGTCTGGTACAATCTCAGTCCCTAAGATAAGGGGCACACCCCTTTCTCTTCACCTCTCGTCCTTCCCATTCCCTTGAGAGAGCATGTTTAAAAGCACTTTGCCTTGAGTGCAGGCAGGCTAATTCGCTTCCCCCTCAGAGAGGGCCTTTCCTTCCAACCTGAGCCCCTGACTCAATGGAACCTTGTCTTGAGGGTTTTCCTTTGAGAAGCAAGCAAAGGAATTGATGGAGTTGGGACTATCCTAAGCCCGAGGCAGAGAGAGGCCATTGTCAAAATGGCGGCCGTTTTGTGTTGCCTGCTGTTGGGGGTTTGAGGAATCCTCCAGAGACCTTGAGAACACTCTTCCACTTACGTCATCGGCCTCAGATAATGAGCTACTTCAGTGCCAAGTCAGAAATAGGTGAGGGAGGTGGTAACTGGGCCTGACTCAGACCTGTCTGGTGGTTCAGCTGTAGAATGGGAATGAAATGAGAGACTTGTGAGCTTTCTCAGGGAGCAAGATGGTGTGGAAAGGATGCCCAGCCGGGATGCAGCCTGGATCTCTGCCTTGACCCGGTGACACCCTGATCAGAGACGTGGGCTGTCAGTGAGGGAGAAGTCAGGCACGTGTCCTGCACTCCCCTGTGCCACCAGGACGCAGAATTGATGGTTGAGCTTAATCCCGAAGAGCTCCCCTGACCCGCCTGGGCATGGCCGTGGCCTTTTGCTGTCCCACCAGCAAGATCCTCCAGCTCAGGGCTCCCGGCATTTTCTCTGGCTGTTCCCCGTACCTGGAACATTCTCCCTCCTCTGCCCTGTCAATGGTCCCAGCTAAAATCCCATGTTCTTCAGGATGTCTTCCCCAGGAAGTCTTCACATTCACGCACCACAACTTATTCGGCCATTCTCCACTTGATGGGCATCCCCTAAGTTTCCAAATCTTTGCCACCGCAGAAGAGATGCTCTCTGTATTTTTGTACAACTTCGATTAGAGTTTGTTTTGTCCGAGACTAATCACTCCCTGCATCCATCCTCCCTCTGATTCCCCCTTCTTCTTCCCCCCGCCCTTTGCCTTTGAGTGTGAGGTAGCTGCCGGCCAGGTTGGGTCTGGAGTCAGGAAGATCTAAGTTCGAATCTGGCCTCAGACACTTCCTAGCTACGGCCACGGGCAAGTCACTCAACCTCTGTTTACCTCAGGTTCCTCAGTTGTGAGTTGTGGATTCTTAGGATCAAATGAAACAATATTTGTACCGCAGTAGGCATTGTATACATAGCAGCCGTAATTTCTATTACAATTACAAATGTATTTCTTTGCCCACCTTTGTGTGTGTCTGTGTAGCCTTCCCTCTTCTTACCAGTTCAGATGAGAGTTACTTTTGGGTGCTGCTTATTCTCCCCCACTGTCCTTTCTCCTTGTTTGTACAGACTTCTCCTTCCACGCCCTGATTAAGTAGAAGTTTCCCTAACCTTCCCTTCCCTTCCTTCCCGTCTCCTAACAGGGCATTCCCCCTTCCCTCTCTCTCCATTCTTCTTTTAAGATCATCAAGACATAGCCGAACCCCTCCCAGGCCTTGTCTAACTGAACCCCCCTCTAACCTCTGTTGATGTTGGGGTTCAGGAGGGACACATGGATTATGTCCCCATATTTGAACTCAGCCAGTTTATTCTCATTTAGTCACTTGTCGTTGTTCATTGTTTACTTTTTTTTTTCTTGTTTGTCTTTACTCCTGGGTTTGAAGTACAAAGATTCTCCTCAGCTCTGGTCTTTTCATCAGGGATGTTGGGAAGTCTTCTTTCTCTCATTAAAGGCCCATTTTTTCCGCTGTAGGATTAGACTCGGCTTTGCTGGGTAAGTTTTTCTTGGCTAAATATAAAACAAGGACTCCACAGGGTTTACCAGCAGAGTAGTTCATCCAGCTCTAAGAAGGTAGCATTTAACTCCATCCAAAGTAAAGTGGAAGTGAACCTTAGAGAGAGGCAGGATTCTTGGCTCAGTAAGAAGGCAGGTGAAATTCAGTTTTAGGCTGATAGTAACAATCCAAAGTGCTTTTATGATGCCCTGAAGGCTATTTATGAGCCAGAGACCTATGGTGCATCTCAGCTACTCAGTGCTGAGGGAGCCACATTGATTAGTGATAAGGACATGATCCTGAAGAGATGGGCTGTTCGGTGTTCCATAATCAATCAATGCAGAAGCCATTGACCATTTACCTCAGGTTGAAGTCAATCCTTCTCTAGCTGAATTTCCGACTGAAGAAAAGGTTTTGAGTGCCATTAGGCTCCTTTCATGGCAAAGCAGCTGGTGCTGATTCTATTTCAGCTGAAATTAGTAAGGCAGGAGGTTGGCTGCTGATACAGAAGTTGACTAAAATCTTCCAGGTTATATGGCAAGAGGAGGTTATCCCCCAGGCATTTAAGGATGCCTCTCTTGTCCATCTCTGTAAAGGTAAAGGAAATAGATTGTCCTGTGACAATAAGAAGGGCATCTTTCTCTTAGTCATTGCTGGCAAGATTCTTGCCAGGGTTCTCCTTAATGGGCTGGTCCTTCACTTGGAAGGTGGTCATCTACCTGAGAGCCAGTGTGGCTTCAGAAAGGGCTGAGGAACAGTCCACATGGTGTTTGCTGCTCAAGAACTCCAGGAGCAGAACAGAGATCTGTGTACAAGGTTCATTGATCTGAGCAAGGCCTTTGATACGTCAGTCCGGAGGGCTTGTGGAAGATCATGGCAAAATGTGGTTGCCCAGAGAAGATCGTTAGTGTTGTGCATTCTCAACTATAAAATGTGGATCCTAATAGCGCCTCCCTTCTGGGGTGTCATGAGGATCAAATGAAATAATATTTTTAAAGTGTTTAGCGCAATGCTTGGCACATAGTAAGTACTTATGTGGTAGCTGTTAATACTATTATCATTATAATTATTAAGCATATGCAAAAAAACTTTGAAGTGTGAGAAAGATGCAGTAAACATTTTGAAACATTTTATTATGAATTTTAAATATGATGAAGCATATTTAAGCATTCAAATGATTAATAAATTAATGTTTTGGTGAAAGAAATATATATGAATATGATTAATTTATTTTTAATAATTTTTCAGTTAATTAAATCAATGTAGAAAGCTGAGTAGATGGATCTTTTTTAAAAAAAACATTTTCATAGTTATACTTTATTTTAGCATTCATTTTGTAAAATTTTAAGTTCCAGATTCTTTCCCTCTCTCTAGTCCTTCCCCCACCCATTGAGAAGGAAAGCAATATTATATCAATTATACATGTGAAGTCATGAAAAATATATCCCCATGTAGCCATGTTGGAAAAACAAAAAAGAAAAATTAAGAAAAAGAAAAAAATGCTTCAGTCTGTACTCAGATTCCAGCAGTTCTCTCTGGAAGTAGATAGCAGTTTTTATCATGAGTCTTTTGAGATTGTTTGAATCATTGTATTGATCAGAGTAGATAAGAGTTTCACAGTTGATCATCATTACAGTATTGCTATTACAGTATATAATGTTTTCTTGGTTCTGCTCACTTCACTTTGTTTCAATTTATATAAGTCTTCTCAGGTTTCTTGATGTCTCCTGGAGTCATTAGCTTTGGCTTGCCAAATTCTTGTTTCTAAGGAATTCTTTTCTTCAGTGAGATTTTGTGCCACTTTCCATTTGACCTATTTTCTTCAGTATTGTGTGTGTGTGTGTGTGTTTTACCAAATGGTTAATTCTCTTCATAATTTTCTTGCTTCACTTTCATTTCTCTTTCCAGTTTTTTCCTCTACTACTCATTGATTTTTAAAATCAGGTTTTTTTTGCTCTTTCTTTGGGCTCTTCCAGGAATTCTTGTTGGGCTTATGTCTACTTTAGTTTTCTTTGAGGCTTTGCTTGTAGATGTATTCACATTGTTGTCTTCTTCTGGGTTTGTATCTTGATCTTCCTTGGCAGCATAATAGATTTTTATGGTTAGGTTCTTTTTTTAGTTGTTTGCTCCTTTTTTTAGCCTCTTTCTTGACTGAACTTTATGTAAAAGTTGGACTCTGCTCCCTTAGGGTAGGAAGCACAGTTTGCTGTGCTTCTAGGGACAAAATTCAGGCTTTTTTGTGCTTCTATTTTCAAAGCTAATTCTAAGGGTATGTTAAGTTTTTGGTGCTTTCAAGATGGTGTCATATGGGGAGAGGTGCGGTCACTGCTCTTCAGATCTGTGCTCTTGGTTTTACCCAGGAAGGGCCCTTGGTCACTTTCAGCCACAAGTGCTAGTGCTCCTCTCAGCCTTGGAACTGTGACCCAGAACTGCGTGTGGGCAGTAAAGAGGCCAGTCAGCACCAGCAGCACCCAGGACCATTAATGGGTCCCCTGGAATCTCTTTCTGATCCTCTTACTGTCTCTAGGCTGAGAGCTCTTAAAGCTGCTGCTGCAGCCGCTGTTGCAGCTGTCTCCAACAGCCCATCGCTGGTGCTACCGCTGCCAGTGCTCCAGACAGGCTTCCACTCCCATGTCATAGACCTTTCCTGTCCATCTCCTGGAAAAACGTCTCACCCCAGCCTTTTGTTGGCTCTACTGCTCCAGAATTTGATTTAAGACATTATTTTAGAGTTGTGTAAGGGAGGGGAATGTTGGTAGAGCTCAGCTGAGTGCCTTCTCTATTCCTCCACATTGGCTCCACCTGAATTGCTTTTTAAAAAAAGATACCCAATATCCCCAGTTGATAAATGGTCAAAGGATAGGAACAGACAGTTTTCAAAGGAAGAAATCAAAGTTGTATATAGTTATGTGAAAAAAAATGCTCTAAATCATTATTAATTAGAGCTATGCAAATTAAAACAACTTTGTGGTACCATTTTACAACTATCAGATTGGCTAAAATGATAGAAGGAGAAAATGACAGATGTTGGAAGGGATGTGGAAAACTTGGGACACTAATACACTGTTGGTGGAACTGTGAACTGGTCTGACGTTTTGGAGAGAAATCTGAAATAATGCCTAAAGAGTTATGAAATTGCCTATACCCTTTGACCCACCACTACCACTGTTAGGTCTGTTCTCCAAGGTGATTAGGGAAAAAGGAAAAGAACCTGTATGTTTTAAAATATTTATAGCAGCTCTTTTTATGATGGCAAAGAACTAGAAATTGAAACTCACCAACTGGAGAATGCCTGAAAAAATTGTGGTGTATGATCTTGATGGAATCCTACTATGCTATGAGAAATGATGAGCAGGATTATTTTAGAAAAACATAGAAAGACTTGCGTGAAATAATGGAGATTGAAATGAACAGAGCCAAGAGAACATTGTATACAGTAACAGCAATATTGTTTGAAGACTAAATGTGAATTACTAAGTTATTCTGAGCTATGTGAATGTTCAAATCAGCTACAAAGGATTTATGAAGGAAAATGCTTTCCACCTTCAGAAAGAACCGATATATGGAATTATGTATTATATGGTTTCACATATATGTCTGTGTCAAATATTGTCCTTCTCTAGTGCATGTTTGGGGAGGGGGTGGAGAGAAACAGAACTCAAATGTAACTAAAAAAATGTTACCCAATGAGTCAAACAATAGGTCAGTGAGTACCCCCTCAGCATGAGCATATCACTATGTCACTCCTCCACTGTATGTGCCCAAATGCTTTGGCTCTGGTTTTCAGTATCTGCCCATTCTTCTTTATCCTCATGGTGCTGTTGAGTGAATTGTCTCATACCCTAAATTCCCTTTCATGTTTGGATATTTTAGCCATATTTTTGTGTGAATGTGAGGAACACCATGAAGGTCAGTCTGACTCAGCCATAGGATGCAGAAAGGGAATTGTGAATTTATGATGGCAATGGAAGGATAGTTTGGGGGACCTTTAAATGTCAATGAGAGTTTCTATTTGGTCTCAGCAGTATTAGGGAGCCATGGAAACTTGAGGGTGGGAGAGTCAGTGACTCTGTTTTAGAAAAATTGCTTTGTCAGGTGTACGTAGGATGAATTAAAGCAGGGAGAGACTTGAAGGGGGGGTGCAATTAGCAGACCATTGTAATAATCAAGACATGAAGTGATAAGGGCCAGTAAGGCAGAAACAACATGATTTAACCGCTGCTTGGATAGGTGGAGTAAGAGAGATTGAGGATATTGGGTCTGTGAACCTGAATCACAAGAGGGGTGGTGGTGCCCATAATATAAACAGGGGAATTTGCTGGAGAAAAGTCTATCCACCCATGCACAGGGGTCAGGGGTCAGGCAGAGAATGACATCACTCTCACCTGAACTAGGGACAGGGGAGTCAAACACACACAAAATGAACAGGGGTGGGTTTGGGGTAAAAGATCCTGTAACGAGGTCTGTGATAAAGATCTCAGCTCGTCCAGGGCTCCTCCTCCAGTGTGACTCACTGTCCTGCCCACAGTGAGAGTCAGGGAGGGCGTCTAGTCTCTGGTCACAGTCCTGGAACACAGAACCCACTCCCAGAAAGGTTCCTACCAGCCAGAGTGATCCAGGGGTCAGCTGGTAAGTGTCCTGGGGTTGGGGGTGAGGGAGCTGGATTCTCCCCACACCTGTGTGCGGCTGCTGCTTTTGATACCTGGATACCTGCTGAGTTGTGACTGTCCCAAGGGATCTTCAAAAGATGGTGGAATCCAGGGAAAGTACTGATGGAGTATGAATGCAGATTGAAACATACTGTTTTCACCTTGTTTGTTTTTTCATGGTTTTTTTCCTTTTGTTCTGTTTCTTCTTTCACAACATGACTAATGTGGAAATATGTTTAACATGATTACACATGTATACCCTAGATCAGATTGCTTGCCTTCTTGGCAAGAGGGGGGAGAAAAATTTGAAATTCAAAATCTTTCCAAAAATTAATGTTGAAATTTGTCTTGACATGTAATCAAAAAAAAAAATAAAATGCTATTAAATAAAAAAAACAGAATTAAAAAAAAATATGGTATGGAGAAAGGACAATCATCTTCATTTTCAGAAAAGATAGAGCAGCATCTCCAGACTCCAGGTTGGTGAGCTTGATTTTGACTCCTGGAAAAGTTCTAGGACCTATTTTTAAAGAGTGGGTTAGTAACCAGCTAGAGAGAAAGTGGTGAAAATAACAGTAATGATAACAAGAGTAAAAGCGTGCATTTGTAAAGCCCTTCCAGGTTTACAAAGCATTTTACAAATGCCATCTCATTGGTTCCTCACAACAGTTCTGCATGGTGGGGATGGACTCTCTACAGGGAAGCTTAAGGGTCTTGGCAGGGATCAAACGGCCATTAAATGTTGGGGGCTGGTTTTGAATTCAGGTCTTCCTGACTCCAGACCCAGTGCTTCACCCACTGTGCTACCCAGCTGCCTGTTGATGAGAAGTATCCAAGATCCTGCCATATGATGCTGGGCTCCATTGATGTACTGCTTAATTTTGCTGACGTATTTCCCCTTGCCTACTCTTTTTATTCTTGCTATAAGAAGGGGGATACAATAGTCAGCTAGGGAGCACCACAGTATACAGAGTGTGGGGCCTGGAATCTGGGAGACATGAGTTCAAATCCAGCCTCACACACTTCCTGGGTGACCCTGGGCAAGTCACTTAACCTCTGCCTCAGTTTCCTCATTTATCAAATGCAGATGATGACAGCATTTACTTCCAAGGGTTGTTGTGAGGATCAAATCAGATGTTTGTAAAGTCTTTTGCAAACCTTAAAAAGCTGTAAAAATGCCAGTTACTACTACTCCAATAAATCCAAAAATTAAGGTTTTTTTAAGAAACAAAGATTTCAATGAAACTTTTTTTAATGGTTATTCTGATTCTAATTTTATTTCTTTTTTTTTTTGACAAGGTTACTAACCTAGTATATCAGGGAAATGCTAGAGATACTTTACCTGGATTTCCCCAAAGCACTTGATAAAATCTTTCATATTTTTTTCCTGTGAGAAAGATGGAAAGATGTGGTCGTTGTAGTTGTACAATTAGGTAGATATGGAAGTTTTTGAACCCTGGAACCGAAGAGTGGTCATTAAGTTGGAATTAAGTTGGCCATCTCTAAAGAAATGTCTCTTCAGAAAGAGCAAATATCTTTTTTTCAGATGTCTTCTCTTCACTGGAATGTTCCTGGTATCTATGCTGGGCATTCTGCTCATTAGCTTTAAAAAGAAATTTTCCAGGGATACTTCTTGGCTGAGCTCTCTAAGAATGTTAAAACATCATTGATGTCTTTTGTTTTTGTCTCACCTGTATTCCCCAATTTGGCCTGCTTTCCGTCCTTCTGCAGAATGTTACCTCTTATAGAAAAAAAAAAAAAAAACAAACCTAACCAGTCTCTGTGTAAGTGCTGTCAGTGTGTTTGGATGTGATTCACTTGGTTCTGATGATCCAGGCTCTCTGTTACCCCTCCCTAGTGGTTTCAGTGCCTCTATATCAATGTTCTGTGTTTTGCCGATAAATCATCATTCTCCTTGATGGAACAGAGTCTCACACTTGAAATGTCAAACAGTTCTCTTTTTCCTTGATCAGATTAAAGTGAACATTGACTTTTTGGTTTCCTTCAGGGTCCCTTTGTCCGGAGCAGCGACGTGACACCGAGGATCCAGCTGTGTGTCAGAGCACTCACCTGACGGTATCCTCTCAGGAGAGACTGCAGGAGGTTGGTGTAGGGGATGGCAAAGTGCTCAGGGAAGCTGGGAGTTTCAGTTTAGGGGAATGAAGAGAAATGGGTCAGATCAGGATTGGGTCAAATTCCTCCCATGAAATACTTGTGATAAGGTGAATATCTCTGAATTCAGTACATTTGGGAGAAGTTGCAGTCTGGGGTCAGTCATTGTAGATATGACATACTTGGCCAGAGCTGCAAATAGTTTTTAGCTGTAATAGAATGTCCTTAGATGAGATACTTTGTAAGGCCAACAAATATGGAAATCCCTTCACTTAACACCCAGCCCATAATGCATTTCATAGGCTTATGGACTAGAGAAAGCCTTAAGTAAAAAGAGCATTTCTTTCTATTAGAGAATACATACTGGAAGAGGAACTCTATGAGTGATGCTGGAAAACCTTCATTAATAATTCCTGCTTTCTTTTACAGGAAATGATTCATACTGGTGAGGATCACTGTAAATTTAAAGACAGTGAAAATGCCTTTAGTCATTTGGGAAACCCTAATGATTATCAAACAATTCATACTCAGAAGAAGCTCCATCTTTTTAATGAATCAGGGAAAGCGTTTCTTCTACATGAGAAAGCACATGTTGGGAAAGAACCCTTTAATTCTAACGAATGTGACAAAGCCTTTCATTGGGAATGTAAACTTGGTGCACATCACAGAATTTATACTGAACACAAACTCTTTGAATGTAGTGAATGTGGGAAAAACTTTAGCCAAAGGTCATCCCTTATTTCACATCAGAGAATTCACACTGGCAATAAACCCTTTGAGTGTAATGAATGTGGGAAGGCCTTCTACAACAAATCTCAACTTACTGTTCATCAGAGAATTCATACAGGAGAGAAACCCTTTGAGTGTAAGGAATGTGGGAAGAACTTTAGCCTGAAGTCATCACTTATTTCCCATCAGAGAATCCATACTGGAGAAAAACCCTTTGAATGTAATGAATGTGGGAAAAACTTTAGCCAGAGATCATCCCTAATTTCCCATCAGAGAATCCATACTGGAGAAAAGCCCTTTGAGTGTAATGAATGTGGGAAAAACTTTAGCCAAAGATCATCACTCACTTCTCATCTGAGCATTCATACTGGAAAAAAAGCCTTCGCTTGCAGTGAATGTGGGAGGGCCTTCTATGACAAATCTCAGCTCATTTTACACCAGAGAATTCACACTGGAGAGAAAACTTTTTTGTGTAATGAATGTGGAAAAGCCTTCTACAGAAGATCTCAACTTACTGAACACCAGAGAATCCATACTGGTGAGAAACCCTTTGAGTGTATTGAATGTGGAAAAAATTTCACTGTGAGGTCATCACTTATTCAGCACCAGAGAATTCATACCGGAGAGAAACCCTTTGAGTGTACTGAATGTGGGAAAGCCTTCTACAACAAATCTCACTTTACTGAACATCAGAGGATTCATACTGGAGAGAAGCCCTTTGAGTGTGCAGAATGTGGGAAAAACTTCAGCCTGAGGTCATCCCTTATTTCACATCAGAGAATTCATACTGGAGAGAAACCCTTTGAGTGTGCAGAATGTGGGAAAACCTTCAACCAGAGGTCATCACTTATTAAACACCAGAGAACCCATACTGGGGAGAAACCCTTTGAATGTACTGATTGTTGGAAAAACTTCAGCTGGAAGTCATCCCTTATTTCACATCAGAGAATTCATACAGGAGAGAAACCCTTTGAGTGTAATGATTGTGGGAAGGCCTACTACAACAGATCTCAGCTTACTGTACATCAGAGAACTCATACTAGCAGGAAATCTTTTGAGTGTACAGAATGTGGGAAAAACTTCAGTGAGAGGTCATCATTTATTAAACATCAGAAAATTCATACAGGAGAGAAACATTTTGAGTACAATAAATTTGGGAACTCTATCATTTATTGCACATCAGATAATTCATTCTGGACGGGTACCCTTTGAGGGTAATTAATGGGAAATATTTCACTATAAATTTCAGCTTAATGAACATCAGAAAATTCAGGAAAGTGTATTGGAGAGAGATCCACTAGATATAATTATGGAAAGACTTTACCTGAAAGGACCGATTAACTGACCATCAGAATTCATATTTGAGAGAAACTCTTTGAGTGTTATGAATTTGGAAAACTTTAGCCAGAGGTCATCACTTATCAAATATGAGAATTTATACGGGGGAGAATGCCAAGAAGGCAACTAGGTGGTCCAGTGGAGTGTTCTGTCCTTAGAATCAGGAAGACCTGAATTTAAATTTTGTCTCAAAGATTTCCTAACTGTGTGACACTGTGAAAATTACTTAACCTCTCTTAGCCTCAGTTTTCTCATCTATAAAATGGAGGATTTGGACAATTCTAAATCTGTGATCCTGTGAGAAAATTCTATTTATGCAATGAATGTAGGAAAGCTTTTCTACCACAAAGAAAACTTACAAAACAGAAGTCATGCTAGAGGTTAAGCCTTTGACCAGAATGAATATGAGAGGGCCTTCAGATATGCTTTATGCTCGACTATATTAGAGAGCTCATATTTGAGGGAAAAAATACATTAATGCAATGAATATGGAATCTTCAGCTAGAAAGGACACCTTGCCGATAAACTCCATATATTCAATTAAATATGAGAAAGCCTTTAGCACTAGTTGAAACCTTTCAGAGAAAGGGTCAGAGAATTAATACAGAATAAAAAGATTATGCAATCAAAAGACAACCCACTTTATTGTAATGTAGAAGATGTCAGTGAATGGCTTTATTTCATACCTCGTTATGTGCAGTAGCAGATGTAGCCGACAGAAAACACCTAAACATGCTGAGCTCACAGCTGGTCAGCCCCCGCTTGGCCTTTATGTTTCAGGGGAGAGGATGCAAAGACTTTCAAATCCATTCCAAGGGGCCCTCCATCTTTTGGTTGGCTTTGGAGAACTGAGGGATGGAAAGGCTACCCATAGGGATCAGTCATGACTGCCCATTTTCACTTGAAATAGACCCACAGGCCAAAGGGACATTACACATAGCAGAAATGGATGATGGAATTCCCCCCTTCTCTTTGCCACCACAGTTCAATAACCATGGCAGTATAATGTAGTGAATAGTGTCAGGAAGTCAGGAAGACCTAGATTCAAATCCTGCCACAGAAACTTGTGAGTTGTGCGACTGTATGAAAGTTACTTCCTGTCTCTTAGCCCAAGCAAGCGAGAGGCCTGAACTCAATGACTTCTTCCATACCTTCTGTCTTGAAATCTATGATGTTCATGGATTCATCCTGGAGGTGAACTATAGAGGTCTGATAATGCCGGGAAGACATCACAGCACCCTGCCGTTTGTTCAGTGCTGGAAAGTCAAGGATGCTGAGTTGTGACTAGCCATAGAGAAAAGTATCTGCCTCTTCCTTTGGGCCTCCTGTTGACTGTGTCTACATAGCAGTAGAGTTGCACAAGTCAGTGCTCCTGGTGTGATCTCTGCAGAATCAATAGCACTTAAACTACTATTTTAAAAAGTCTTGGTTTTTAAAAATAAGTTGAAGCATTCAGATATATGTATATAAGTGCATTCACACTTTACAATAAGTTTTACTGATGCCTTCTGTCTTTACATTATAGTCATTTCTGGACAGAGCTCTTTTGCCACTCCACAGCCTTCTTATAAAAGTCTGACATGAGAATTTGATAAGGATCTGACAACGCTATAGCAGTGTGAGAAATTCTGCAACAGGGAAGTTATCAAAATTTGTGAATGGGCAGTTTTCAAAAGGAGAGAAACAATATATCAACAATCACATGAAAAGATGTTCAATATCTCTGCTACTTGAAAGAATTCAAATGAAAACATTAGATTTCCTAATAGTGTCAAACTGAGAAACTGATCTCTGCCAGTCTGCATATTGACTCAGAGAACCACAGATTAGCATTATCTCTGTTGTATTGTATTTTTATTTATTTTGTTAAACATTTCCCAATTACATTTTAATATGGTTCTCCATACTTCTGGGCTGTTTGATGCTCTCCCACCAGAAGGCAAGTTTGACAAGTTTGCCCTCCCACATCCATGAAATTGGCAAAAGATATTGAAAAGTGATGAAATTAAGGAGTGGTATGACTGTGGCAAAACAGGCATGCTGTTAACACAGCTTATAGAGTTATGAATTGTTTAAATGACAATATTACCAAAAAAATTCTTTGTAATAAAACCACTGGAATGTTTTCTGCTTATGTAGTTTAAGTGATTTTCTATTTTTTCTTTTAACATTATTTTTGAAATCTGTTGAGTTTCTATCCCTTTCATTGACAAAAGGAAAACTGTAGGTCTTTAATGGTTCTTTGCCCTGTTATATTAGAAGAGTAGGCCTGTTGGCTGCTGATGGCCAAGCTGTTTAGTGTTGGAGCCCCTGTGGCAATGCTCCTGTACTCACTAACCAAAGTGATTTTCCTGAAGCACAGGTCTGATAGCATTATCACCCCTCCCCAATGGATTAGCTCCATTCGCTGTTGCCTCTTGCCTCCAGCATCAAATAGAAAGTTTCTTGGTACTTAAATCCCTTCCTGACCTGACCCCCTTCCCATTTTCTTACAGTTTGCTCTCCTCCCCACTCTCTAGGGTCCAGCTACACTGGTCTCATTGCTGTTTCTCTTCCATTTCTGTACTCCGTCTTTATATTGCTTCTTTGCCATGCTTGGGATACTCTCTCCAAAATCTCCTTCGCTTCTTTCAGTATTCAATTCAAATCACCCTGGGCTATCTCCAATCATCCTGATCTGTATCTGGCCACTGGACCCAGATGGCCCCAGAAGAGAAAGTGAGGCTGGTGAGTTTGCACAGCCCTCCTTCACTTCAGTCCAATTCACTCGCAAGTCATGGCATCACCTCCCTGATGTCAAGGCCCTCCTTGAGAACGAAGGGCAAACAGCAATCCAACCATCTGCAGGAAGACTTTCCTATTGCCAGTGCCTTCTCTCTAATTAGAATTATGAGCTCCTTGGGGACAGTGATTTTTTTTCTTTGTATTCCAAGTACTTGGCACAGTGCCTACCACACAGTAAATGGTTAATAAATGCTTTTTGGATCACGGGTTGCCATGACTTGTGCTTATGCCAATTTTTTTTTTGTTTGCAAGTGTATATAATTTTTCTTCCCATTCTTTGGTCTTACACTCGTAATACAGCTGAGAAAACTCTTCTCCTGGCTTCAAAAGTATGATTTCATAGATGTGTTCACCTGGATCCAAAAGGCCTTATACACCTGGATCACAAATAAGATGTGCACATCCCCTTGGTAGAGGCAGCTAGGGGACGCCACAATGCGCAGAGTGCTGGGCCTGGAGAAAAGAAGACGAGTTCAAATCTGGCCTCATACTGCCTAGCTGTATGATCCTGGGCAAGTCACTTAACTGTTGCTTCAGTTTCCTCATCTGTAAAATGGGAATTATGATAGCCTCTACCTCTCTGAGTTGTTGGGAAGATTAGATTAAAGGATTTTTGTAAAATGCTTACCCCAGTCCCCGTCACGTAGTAGACATTTAATAAATGTTTATATTCTTCTGTAAGGTCCAGAATTCTCCCACCAAGGGAATCCTGTACTTCCCTCCCAAACAGTGGAGCAAGTTTGGCCAAAGGAGGGGCCAAGGAGCCCCAGATTGATTGTAGGTAGTAGTTTAATCAATTGGGTTACTTACATTGGGGCAGTATGATGGATCCCTGCCAGGAGAATAACAATCTTCGGTCTGGGATGGCAGCCACACCAATGGTGGATCTCTGCAAAGACCCCCAAAAATCTCTGTGGTAATTATAGAAATCAGACAAAGGGAGGAGGAGCCATAGGATGCTTCACTGTGGATTGGTGTGTATTTTGGGGTTTTCTGCTTAGTTAATGTTTTGGCTAATATTTTAGTTTATAGTTAGTATTGTACCCAGTTCTCAGACATCCAGGTGTTTACCCAGAACTGCTAGGTAAATGCCCAGACACTCAAAGTTAGGTACTGGCCATGTACCAGTCATGTACCAGTCACAATATCTAAATTATGATTTTGTATCTAAGTTACGATTTTTTAATAGGTCATCATGTCCAGGCTTCTACCTTTCACAGAATTTAAGTTAATGGCTTTCACTTCTTACTGTATTTTGGCTTTTCCCCGATAGAGACCCCACACCTTCTTTCTTTCCTAAGATGCTTTGTATAATGATAGAAGAAATGAAAATTCAAATCCTATGGCCCTTATCCCATTTAATCCACTTTACACTTAGAGATCCTAAGCTGTAGTTCTGGGAGTGGAAAAAAGCAACATTTTGCTAGTCAGTACCCTAGGATTCTAAGGAATCAAGGGAAACTAACCTACAGAAGACTCAGCCTTTCCTATTTTAATAATTAAAAGTGGGAAAACTAAGAAGCTATCTTTAAAACTGTTACCACCCTCACCTATAACTCCCATGAATTGGTTTGATTGCAATCTTAGAGATTTGTAGCACTCTTGTCTCTAACCCTCCTGAGGCTTGAGCTGGGTGGAAAGATTTCCAAAAATGTGATTTTCATATGTACATTTTTATATAAGGGTTTTCTCCTTTTCTCCTCCCTAGCATGGATACTGATTTACCACAGAATCACTTGTTTAGAGAGACATTAACTTCAAATTAGGAATTAAAATGCTGAGGAGGCTCAGATCAATTATTTTGGTTTTGAGGGGGAAAATCTTAAAAACCTAGGCAAGTAACACTGATTCAGTGGCCCACTATTTGCCTAATCCAAAGAAACTACTTATAGAAGGACTCGGGATTTGACAAGAACTGCTAGGAAAACTAGAAAGCATTTTGGCAGACAATAAGATTCAGAACGGTATCCTCTGCCATATAATATACTAAGTTCCAAATAGATACATAATATAAATGTCAAATCAGTTTTTTAAGAATGGAAGGAGTAACTTTTTACATTTATGGCTGGGGAAGAATTAACCAAACAAGAAATAAAGGAGATTGTGGGGGGGAAAAAGAACTTTTACTTCATAAATATGCTTGCAAATCAGTATATTATTTATCTCTATGCCATATTAAATATTTATGGGGAATTAATACAAATATCTAATAAAAATATTCCTTAATATATAATGGTGAAAGTATATTTTTGAATCAAAAGTTATGAACAATGCATTTAGATTTAATATAAGAACAGATTGCCTGACAATTAGAATTAGCCAAAAGCGAAATGGGATGCCTTGGAAGATGGTGACTTCCCTACACCTGTCTTCACT